CGAGGCTATCAAAAATTCTAGAGGCCTCAGTGATAAACATATAAATAGCGGCGACCAAAAGTAATGTCAAGTGAAAGAGATGTTCAGTCAGAGAAAAGTTAGAAAACATTAAGTTAGTCGTTGTGGGAGTGAATAGCCTTAACAGTTGACATTTTAAAGTGAAATTAATAGTTTTATAGAGATAAGGAGGATAATGTGTCTTATCAAAGGGTGTTCTAAACTAATTGAACCCACCTGTGTGGACTTTGATGAAATAAAACAATTATTAGAAGTTTATGATACAACTGTGGTAACCCACAAGATAGCTTAAGTGAATTATTCACTGATACTACTGTGACAGAAGTAGAGAAAAATAGTTTGATTTGTCAACTAGATTTTAAAGCAATTGAATTAGCCTAAGTGGACTTTGACAATAAGAAGAGAACTGTATAGTGTTTAAGATACAACTATGATCTCCATAGTGTAAAGAATTTTTGTACATACATTTAACTTATTTTTAATATATTATTTCAAAACAAGTGGAGTGTGTGCTGTCCATATATTGTTTGAATTTATCACCAACAAGTCACAGACACCTCAATGGGAACAACAGCCAAAGTCAGAACTGTTTCTTCTATATTAACTACTAGCCAGAGTATCCATCCCCTGGATAGAAGTTATGTAAATTCATGATTAATGAAAGGTTATCTTATGACATGAAAGGTTGTTTCCCTTGTATGTAATTGTAAAAAATGCAAAAATGCCCATAAAAACTGCAAAAAATAAGATATGAAGCCACAAATTTGCACGTATCTTCAACTGGACCCAACAAACCATCATGCCAAATTTGGTGATGCTCCATCAACAGGGAGCAATTTAGAGGTAAAAAAGGCAAAATTACCCATCAAAACTGGAAAACTGAAAATTTGTATGCATCTCTCCATGGACCCAATGAATCTCCATAACAATTTTGGCAAAGATCCATCCACACCCAGCAAAGTAATTACATGGACAGACAACAGAGAGTACTACTATATTCATATAGTTTCTTAAATGTTTAATATCCATCATAATGCACAGTTATCTTCATGCTTTTGGTGTATACCAGAAGCATATATTGGAAAGGGTTTAGAGGAGAGTTTTTAGATGATTTTGGAGATGGAAGGGTTATCTCATGAGGACAGGTTAAGATTTATTACTTTACCTTGAAAAAAGAAGAGCAAGAGGTAATCTTATGCAGTTTAAATTTTGTAAAGAAACCATAGTAATATTGCTATATTGTAGCAATTAACAGATTTTTTTTAATTATAAAAACTCACAAGTGAAAAAGAGACTCAAGTCTTGGTCTTGAAGTGTCTTTTCACTTACACACTTTATAAAATTATTTGGGAGAACAATAAGATAATATCCTCAAATTCCTTTGTGCTATAGTTTGAAGATAATAGAAGGAGAGGACATAAATTTATTTCAAAAAAACACACTATTACACAGTCAAGACAGTTTTATTTAATTAACAGGATGATTAGCTTATGTAATGAGTCAGTGTTGGCAGCAAGTGGAAGCTTTCACTTTATGAGTTTAAGAGAGGAACAAATGATTTCCTGAAAAATAAAGGAACAACCTTGAAGGAACAAACTGTCCCTTGTTGCCCCTAATGTTACATTAATTCATCATTTCCTGGTATATAAGTAGGTGCAGCATGAGTAAGGATAACTCACAAGTTGCAAATGAAATATTAATGTTATTTATGTAATAAAGGATTTCTTAAAGGCTACAAAAATAAACAACCTTATTGCTCTAGATAATTTATTTATTACTGTTACTATTTCACTTTATGGCTTCAGGGATACCTGATTAAGCTGCAAAGATTAATAATGAAGAGCAATAAATAAAAGAAATCCTCTACAGTAAAATAAGCTTGTTTGTTTTTTTAAATCAACTTTCAACTTGTCAGCACTACAATATTTGAAAAATGGAAAAAACTAAGTATTATGTTTGTTACAACTGAATACTGTAAAGCAGAAAATTAAAAATTATTTCATTATTTACTCATTATGAACTTTTATATTTTTAAAATAAAATTTGGAGGTTTTCATCTTCATGCTTCACAGTAAAAAACAGCCTACATTTCACTTATTATTATTTTTTATATATATAAGTGGTGTTTCTTAGTCACATCTCATATATAACTGTGCTTCTACTTTTGCCTCACTTTCTTACTCTTCTTTTTTTTAATATTACATGCCTTCTATACTGTGCAATTGAACCTAAATATATCTAGGGGAAGTTTAGTTTTAAGAACCAAATCCTATACAATTAATTTACTTTCAACTTTGAATGTTCTATATATAATAATGGATTGTAAACAGAGCACACATATATATTGAGATCCCAATTCTATTTATATAAATTTTGAATCTATGAACAGAAAGGTTATTGTAGCTTTGTATGAGATTGACGAAGCCTCATTTGGAGTACTATCTGCATTTTTTGTCCCTTAATTTATAGGAATGTTTTTCAACATATTAGAAAGAGTGCAGGGGCAGTACTAGAATGACACCTAGCCATTTAATCTTGAAAATGAGGTTTAGAGTTGGAATGTGTTTTCTCAAAATTCAATTCCATTTTTGAAATTTAGTTAAGTGCAATGGTAACACATACAAAATTAGATTACACTATGTTAAAATTATTTTTAATGCTATAACTTGTGTCTGTTGCCAACATTTCCTTTAGCAAATATATTTATGAGTCCAATTCTCAGTTATTGTACTTATAGTATTTGTAGTTGGTTTTCAGTTTTCCCTAGGATCTTCCACTGGTCTTATCACTCTGCCTTATCATCATTAGTAGTACTGTTACTACTAATTAGTTATTACACAGTCTGAATAGTAATATTATTGCAACTTATTACTCTCAGAGATTAAAGAATACAAATAACAAGGGAATTTTTCCACATCACTAGCTATCTTGTAAAAAAAGGTGTTGTGTATGAAACTGACTAAGATAGATATAATTTATAGCTTTAGTCTTCATATCTTTCTTACTGTGTGTCTTAACAAGCTTCAGTTTCTGCATCGGGATGTAGGTCCATTTTTAGGACTTGGGAGGATCAGGTTTTTTGTTAACCTCTTCCTCCCTGCTGATACATTGGTGTAAACTCTTTATACTGATTCTTAGGTAACAAAACTAACATCCCCCTACTTTGTTGCATTACTCACTGTATATTAAAGCACTAACAAGTTTCTGAAATACTTAGTTTAATACAACCTTTTCAGACCTACTTCATTTTATGGGGTAATATTATCTTGTAAGTCTACGATATGCTTCACTAATGTACAACTGCACTTTTACTTTTAGTCCTGTTTTCACTATACAGTCTCACATTGTGCACTTGTACACACACACATAATTAAATTTTTACATATATGCCCTTTTAAAACAGACCCATGCCTGCATCTAAGAACCAGTTTGCCTAGCACTATGTGGCCTACTTAAATTGTTATTAACAATATTCATGGGGGAGAAATACTTAGGACTAAACATATCATGCACGAGATAGCTAAGTTGCTTATCAGTTAATTTTTATCCATGTTTTTCTTGTAGTAATGAAGCAAGTTATCTAGGAGTCTGTTGGACAATAATGCCATATTAATAGAGAGTTTGAGTAGTCCTGATGAAATGTTAAGTTTGTTGAATGTGGAACTCTGTATATTTTAGTATATAATTCTGTATTTTATTTATGTATGTTTTGGAGATATTAAGCCAAGCTGAACAGGCATACTCAATGACTGGTCTTATGTATTTTCAGTATGTTTTTTGGTGAGGCTCCTTGATTATTGCTCATAAGATTCCTATAAAACAAGCTCTTTGGTAGATTCTAGTTTTTATGCTATTTTAGTATTTATGTATTGTATTGAAGTTAGTTTTGAGTCAAATATAATTCTTAAAAATTCTGCTGATATTGCTAACTGGAAGAGAGTACCATCTAGGTAATTGTGATTTTATTCTATTTGTTTTGATTGATTTTATGAACAGAATTACTGTGTTTTAAGTGTTTATTTTGATTCTCCATTTGTTACAGAATTGCTCTAGTTTGTTTAGTAATGTTATAAGTTGGTGTTGTTGGGTTTTGGGCACTCTTCCACAAGTGAGCAGAAGGTGAAATTTGGGTCTTTTTTTTTTAGGCGTGTCGCTTACAATATTACATACATGATAAACATTGTAGGGCTAACTACCCCTCCCTGAGGTACGCCTGCCTCTGGAGTGAAGTTCTCCGAGTAGGTGCCCTCAACACTGACTCTGGTGCTCTATCCTCCAGGTAGTTAGACACACCCTGTAAATAATTTCTGTTGGAGAACTCATTTTGGACAACTTGAATCTTAGGCCGTTGTGTCATATTTTGTCGAATGCTTTCTCTAGACGGAGAAAGCATAAGACAGTGCAATGTTTTTTACTGAAGGTGTTACTTCTTCTGTTAAAGTGTTCGTCTAATTTAGTAATCTGATGATTCGTTTCTTGTCTAGCTTTGTGAAAACCACTTTGTATTTCGGGCAATTTTAATTTCTAGGTAAGCTAAGAGTATGTTGTTAATATATTTTTCTAGTAATTTTTCTAAACAGCTAGTTAAGCTTATGGGTCTATCATTTTTGGAGTTAATGTTATTCGCTGATTTACATTCCTTCTGGAAGTGGAACATAAAAACGTCAAATTGTTTCCACGCGTTCGTATGTAGTTTGATTTGTAATGATTGAAATGAGATGTTAAATGTTCAAGTAGTCTGAAAGTCAAGATTAAAGGCTCTTTTTTAAGTACTATACTTTGGATTTTGTTTCTTAACGAGTTTAAAATTTCAAGTTTCAATTCCAAAGCAGTGGCACTGGCAATGCAGAACTTAAAAGTATACACTTTTATTAAAAATTAAAACATTAAGAAAAATAAAACTAACAACTTATTATTATCATTTTCGGCCTCACAATAATATACTACTTAGCCTTAGGTAATTTCTAAAATAAACCACTTACAGTTATTTATAAAAGGTGTTTTATTACTTCGTTTTCATACGAAATAACCCTTATCATTACAACTTGTTTAAATGCGATATAAATTTTCTGTTAATGTTATTTACATAGACCTGACCTTCGTTGACCCACGTGACTGAATACACTAGTCAGTTAGACTGCGCACGTAAATATTACAGTTGGAGTTGTAATGCTTTTTCTCAAATGGAACT